CCTTCCTTCCATTTTTCCTTTTCTCCTTCCCGCTCCCTTCTTTATTCTCACCTTCCTTCTCCATCCATTTCCTGCCTCCCTCCCTCCTTCTCTCCCTCCTTTTGCTTTCCTTTCCTTCCTTCTTTCTCTCCTTTTCCTTCCTTCCTTTTTTTCCTTTCCTCCCTCCCCACTCCCTTCTTTTTTTCTCTCTCCCTCCTTCTCCATCTCCATCTCCATCCCCTCCATCCCTCCATCCCTCCCACTATTTAATTACTCTGCAGATATTTTATTTTCCTCTTAATTCTTCCCCTTGTTTTTACCTACCTATCAGAAAAGCTTACACTCGTTTGTGGGATAATGCAACGCAAGTGACAATTCCACAGCCGCCACTTCTGCCCAGCGCTTAGGGCAGAGTCCTTCTTGTCACCGGTCCAGCTGAATAACTGGGTCCTCCCTCTTCCTCACCCCCTGCCTTGTTAATTGACAATTCTCACCTCCTCGGCCAACAACACACCAGCAACATGCCAGCAACACCTCTTCCCTTTATTATGTGCTTCCTTGTTCTCCCAGCCGTCTGACGCTGCAGCCTCACAAGTTCCCATCAAAACAGGTCATTTAAATATAAATAGAACAAGGAATAATTTAACCCCTGTTTGCACCAGGGAAGGTGTTGGGACTTCCCATAAACACCAGGAGTGAGGCTTAAAAACACTGCATATTTAAACTGACAAGTCTTATGAAAAAAACCTTTGGCTAGCAACAGGGCCTGGGTGCTCTGCGGCGAGGATGCGCATTGGAGCACAGGAGGTCGGCTTCCCAGCTGGGGCAGAATAAAAATCTAAGCTGAAAAGCAGGGACCAGTGTACCCCAGTCTAGTGTTGGAAGAAAAGTCTTCATCGTGGTCCAGTCCAAGGCGGGGATAAACAACATGGCGACTGCTTTAGAAAGAAGGTTGCAGTTTATTGCAGAGCCAGACAGAAAGATGGTTCTGGCAGGAAAGAGGAGAGAAAAAAGCTGAGCACATGTGGGGAGTGGGTTTTTATACCCTCTGGAGCCTTTTGTTTGGAGTTGCTTCCTGTTCCTGTGGCATGAACTCTGACCTGAGTCTGAGTGTGTTTTTCTTGTATTCTGATGGTGATAGGTTAATCCTATTATGTCCCAAAGGTCATATCCTGTTTCCCTGGGGTTGGGGCTGATGACTCTTAGAGTTTGGATGGGGTATGTAGATTTTAGGTCTTTGTCTTCTTAATCTCCTAGCTCCCTGGATTCATATCTGCATTTCTACAGAGCTGGTTTCTGCTTGGGGAAGGGAGACCTGGGGCTATTAAGAAAACTGGGCATGCTTTTCTGCCTCTTTAAGATCCTTTGAGAAAATATATTTTCCTGCCCTTTTAAAATTTCTTCTGTGGGGGGACTGACTTCCCACATTACCTAATTGGGTCATAAAACATCTGTAAGAAAACAACCAAGCTGAGAGATCACCAAGGACCACACAGTCCTCCTCCTCCTCCTCCTCCTGCTCCTCCTACCAAACCTCTCTCCATTCTAGCACTGATGATGTACCTTAGTTGGGTCATGAAAATCTGCAAGAAAAGCACCGAGGTCAGAGAGCACCAAGGACCCCACAATCATCATCCTCCTCCTCCTCCCAAACCTCTCTCCATTCTAGCACTGATGATGTTCCTTAGTTGGGTCATGAAAATCTGCAAGAAAAGCACCCAGGTCAGAGAGCACCAAGGACCCCACAATCCTCCTCTTCCTCCTCCTCCTCCTCCTCCTCTTCACAAACCCCTCTCCCTTCTAGCACTAAGGAGGCTACCCAGCTGTGTAACAAAACATCTGCCAGAAAGCAATCAAGCTCAGAGAGCACCAAGGACCCCTCCTATTCCCCCCCACCCCGTGCCCTGTTCGGATGGCCCCACTTGGTAGAATCCGAACAAACATTGGTTAGTGCATCCTTGCCATACGCCTTGTAGCTTGGAGACCCCACCACCTGCCTTTCCTCAGAAACATTTTTTTTTAAAAGTTAGATTAAGCCGCCTTTCAAACAGTTTGCATTTCTTGGCCGGCTTCCTTCTGAAGGAAGCCAACAGAATCTGTTTATTTATTGACAAGGATTTATTCAAATTGGTGACATCTGTTCTGTAAATGTCTTGGGGGGGGAGGAGCGAAGAACCGCATGCAAACATTTTCAGAGTGTTTAATGAACTCTAAATGAAGAAATTTATGCATTAGGGTTAAAAAAAGAAGAAGCTTATATGCATTGTGAAGGGTTATTTATCTTTTTAAAGTGTCTGCAGCCATGATGCATATCCTAGAACTAATTTGAGACTGAACGCTGAGTTTCCTCTTATCCGGCGGCCTCGTTTTCCCCGATGTAGGACCTATGCCGGATACAGGCAGTCCTCAAATTACAACAGTTCATTTACTGACCGTTCAAAGTTACAACAGCTCTGTGGGGGGGAAGTGACTTGTGAGCATTTTTTCACGCTCTCAGCCTTTGCAGCATCCCTACGCTCGGACCCTTGGCAACAACTGACTCATACTTACGACAGTTGCACTGTCCTGTGGTCAGGTCTTCCATTTTTGCCACCTCTTGATGAGCAAAATCCATGGGGAAGCCAGATTGACTTAACAACCATGTTACTGACTTAACAACTACAGTGGTTCACTTAACAACTGTGGCAAGAAAGGTCGTAAAAATGGGGCAAAACTCACTTAAGAAATGTCTCACTCAACAACAGAAACTCCGGGGTCAATTGTGGTGATAAGTCGAGGACTACCTGTGTAAATTTTCCCTTGCAATTCACAATTGAGGTCAGGGGTCTTCAAACTTGGCTTTGTTATGACTTGTGGACTTCAATTCCCAGAATACCTCAGCCAGCATGGGGGAACTATGGCTTCTTCATGACTTGTGGACTTCAACTCCCAGAATTCCTCAGCCAGCGTGGGGGAACTATGGCTTCTTCATGACTTATGGACTTCAACTCCCAGAATACCTCAGCCAGCATGGGGGAACTATGGCCCCTTCATGACTTGTGGACTTCAACTCCCAGAATTCCTCAGCCAGTGTGCCTGGCTGAGGAATTCTGGAAGTTGAAGTCCATGAATCATAAAAGGGCCAAGTTTAAAGACCCCTGGTCTACTGTGTGGATCTGATGTCCATGTGAAAATAATCCTTGGTTGCAGGTGGATGGAAGGAAAGAGAGGAAGAGAAGGAGAAAGGGAAAGATTATGGAAGAGGAAGGAAGGAAGGAAGGAAGGAAGGAAGGAAAGAAGGAAGGAAGGAAGGAAGGAAGGAAGGAAGGAAGGAAGGAAGGAAGGAAGGAAGGAAGGAAGGAAGGATTCTCTAAATAGTTTGTTTATGGAACTTAGTAGCATGAAATGTTCTTGGGTTCTTTGAAGCATCTAACACAATGCTAGATTTGGGAACGTTTGAAGCAGACATCTCTAACTAAATGCCTTTGACCTGTCTCCTGACTCTCATCCTTCTTGGAAAGACATGCTAGCTAGGAAATTCTTCTGTAGGCTGTACGATACTCCCCTGTGGGTGCTGTTTCATGCTGGCTGTCTCCAGCAAGTGCTTTGTGCTGTTGTCACAGATAGGTGTGGAAATGGGAGAATGTAGAAAAAAACCTCTATGTCAGGGGTCTTCCAACTTGACCCTTTTATGACTTGTGGACTTCAACTCCCAGAATTCCTCAGCCAGGCACGTGTGCCTGGCTGAGGAATTCTGGGAGTTGAAGTCCACAAGTCATAAAAGGGCCAAATTTGAAGGCCCCTGATTTAGGTGCTGCAGGAGACAATAACAAAATGGGATGTCATTTAGCAATAAGAGATTTCCATTGGCAGAGGGCCTAAGAATGAGCCCCATAGATTGAAAAGAGATATCAGTTATGGAATACATTTAGAGTCCTACAGATTTATTTATTTTATTTA